CTGAAGATACTGTTGTTACAGCAAAGTGTGGTGGAGAAAGCAGATGGTGCCTGGCTATCAAAAAAGAATAGTGTCTGGGGTCTTCAAAGAAGCACCCAACTAAGACCACATGGAAGAAGCACCCCAGCCTGTGTGATCCAAGGACGATAAACAATAAAATTCAAATCCAAAGGAGGGCATGGTATCAGAGCTTAAATTGTGAACACAAGATTTGCAGAAGACAATGGATGACAGTGGGAGTCCAAAATCCATTTGCAGCTTCCGTGCATGGATTAAGCTTCTGATGATGTCCCTCTGACTGCAGTTGAGGGATGTGAAAGCTTTGCTATCAGACAGATAATATAATAAATGTGATCATGGCAGTGTAATTAGGTTAAAATGTGATACCTGGTCATTTGATCTCCCTTTGACCTATTTTAAGTTTGTTCTAGTTTTTATTACTCCCTATTTTTCTCTATCAGAGTGTTATTATTGTTGGTTAGTTGGTTTGGGGGGGGGGTTGGTCTATTTTCCAGTATATGACATCCAGGAGGGATGGGGGAAGTTATACAGACAGTAACTAGATTAGGGGCTTATTGAAGGCACTTAAGGAGGGGGAGGAGTTAGCGGGAAATGGGGAGCTAATAATGAATACAAGAGGGAGAAAATGTTCTGGAACGAATTATAGAGATGATTGCACAGCTCTTTGATATGACTGAGCTCTTGAAGTTTATGGTATGTAAACTAGATTGCCAATAAAACTGTGTTTTTTTAAAAATTTAGCTAATTTATAAAAAGAATGATTGATAAGACAATGAAGAAGGTTCCTAATATGAGTGGTTAACTGAATCCTGGTGCCTCCCTTTCAATTAACATCTTAATTATACTTCTATAGTTAATACTTCTTATATAATAAGAATGCAAATCTGGCAACATAAGAAATTAATACACATGCACGTAATATACTCACACCCACATATAACCACATGTCAGTAAATGTATGGAATATCTCTTAAAGAACACTCAACAAAGGAGCAACAATGATAAGGAGTTCAAAGAGGAATTAGGATGCTAGATATAGAAGCAACAGAAACATTATGTTTCTTGTTGAAGGTGGTACTGTGTTGTTGTATTGACTATTTAAAATTCAATAGACAGAACCCTTTGCCTAAAAGTAAATTGTGTGGCCAAAACCAGACCGCAGGTGATGTTGTGAACTCCTGCACAGGAAGATTTGTTTCCGGGTGCACCTCCAGCTGCCCAGCTGACTGCGATGTCCTAAAACGTGAGCATGGAAAGGAAGCCTGCCACGATGCAGAAAGGTGGGGGGGGGCGAGGCAGGGGGTAATAACTTTTTTCTACATGATAAACGAAAATAATTTTGTGTGTCTGAGGGCAACTCTTTAGAGAGGGAAGTGACATAAAAAGGAAAGGAAGGGACAGGGAGAGGGAAGCTCCCAGCCACACACGTGAGGGACATCATGAAGAAACTCAGTGGCAGGGAAGACCCCCACCAAACGCCAGAAATCATGCTATTCTAAACCTGTCTCCTGCTAAGTGCTATAATCGCCATCCTCAGACTACCTATTGTACCTTGTGTTAGGCTTCAGAGAAAGGAAGAAGGGCGTCTTAGTTATCTAGTGCTGATATAACAGAAATACACGTGGGCGGCTTTAACAAATTTTATCTCCCACAGTTTAGAAGGCTAGAAGTCCAATTCAGGGCACTGCCTCTAGAAGAAGTCTTTCTCTCTGGTTCAGTTCTGGAAAGAGGAGTTTGTCCCACGGAGCTTCTGCTCCTGGGGGATCTTCATATGATAGTTATCTCTTTTCCCCCATCTCTAGAAGATTCTCAGCACAGGGACCCCAAGTCCAAAGGCTCTTCTTTCCTGATTATTCTGAGGTTTCTCATTCTCTGCACACTTCTCTCTCCTTTCACCTCATGAAAGATAAAAACTGATGCATTCCACAGCCCAGGGAACCTCCCTGACATCATTATCGGCTGTGACTCGAGTAAGGGTGTGGCATCGGACTCTAATTCCTTTCTTGGCTGATCATATCAGCTCATATCATGGGAGATGATTATATCATTACATAACTGTCAAACCACTGAGAATGGTGACCCAGCCACCTGAAACATATATTTGAGGGACACAATTCAATTACTGATAAAGGGGCATCCAGAATGGGACCCACAGACTGCCATGGGGGAAAACAGCAGACAACAAAGCAGAGAGCCAAATTTAAGCCCGTGCATGGTTGACTTACCAGGAGACATGCACCCTGAAATCCTATGGAAATTAAAAGAGAAAGGAACCAGGAACAAACTTCTTACAACATCTGAAGCGGAAGCTGAAGATATTTCCTTTGCGTAGGAGCATAAATGTATTACCACTGAAGCCTAGAGGGATTGGGTCCTCGATTAGACACCACTTATTTGGAAGGTGACTGTATTACTCATTTGTCTCTTTCCCACCCAATTCTCTAGCTCCTCCTATTTTTAAACACTGAACCAGCAGTACCCTGGTTACAAACATTGGATTTAGGGGCAAATCATACTTTCCCTTTAAGATTATAAAAATTTGCTCTCATTTTATGAAGATGGAACCAACCCTTATAGGCAAAAAAAAGCCAAAACCTTCATCATAATCACCTTCACTTGCTGCACGTGCAGTTTTAAATCATTAAAAAGGGTTGGTCTGTTTCTTTACTGCACTAAAGTCACTACCGTTGAATGCATTCCGACTCACTGAGACCCTACGTAGGGTTTTCAGGGCATAAATCTTTATGGGAACAGACAGTCTCCTCTTTCTCCCAAGGTACAGCTGGTGGGTTTGAACCACCAACCTTGCAGTTACCATCCAATATTTCCCCAAAAGTGCCACCAGCATTCCTTTCTTACATTAAAGTAAATGTGAAGAAGATCCCAAAAGACCCACTAAAATAAAGCTAAATAAGAACCATGTTAAAGACATACTTATGAATCTGGTTCATAAATTGGGAATGCCTGTAGCTAAGAGTCAAAAACCATCTTTGATTTTGATGTCGTTGAGGACAAAGATAGATCCCAATCCTTGTGTTAGTTCATCGCTTCCTCTGACACCCAAGAGACACAGCAATGGCTCCCCATTAATAGCTAACTAAAGAAGGGCAAATATGATCCAATCCCTAAAGCTCTCAAGTTAAGTCAGGACCGCTTTTCTTCATTCATTCTAAACACAAACTCCTCCGGAACCTTAGCTCTCATCCCTGGCCCAACCCATTTCTGTCCCATTATGGAGATCACATGCTGAGGACAACACAGATGAGAACAAGCTCCAAGTCCCATCGCCCACCACACTCAGCTTTGCGGACACAGCTCTTCTTTCAACCAAGGAAAATGCAAGCCGCAACTGCTCTCCCTTTGAATTCATTCCGTCAACCTTCCTGGCACAGAATATTCCTACATCACCAGTCCATGATTTCCCATGGTGAATCCTGATAGATCTAACCACCCAGAGCCAAGAGCCTCTTCTCACTACCTACCTTCAGCACACAGAAGCCCTCCCCAGGCCCAGCCCCTTCTCTGCCAAAAGGGAGGCAGAGGCCCGGTGTTACCAGAACAGCTCTGTTTCCTCACACCTGACAGTCCAGTCTCATGACCTGTGCCCACTGACACACCCCTCTGAAGGCTCAGTCCTCTTCAAAACCACATCCGGCCTCCCAGCCATTCACATGACAGGGGACCCAAGTCACAGGACTGCAAGCTCCTGAAGGCCACAAACTGAGACTCCTGCACCTGGAATCTAAGCTGAAGAGCGCATGTGTCTCCCTCTAGGCTTTGCACTACCCTCTCTTTGGGACCCCAAATATCCTTAATTCCTTTAGAGTCATCCTTTTCTTTGGTTTCCTCATAAATCTATGTGTTATATGGCAACTTTTCAGTTTCTACAACTCCTTGACACACACAACCCTCTTGGGATCACACACAGTACGAAGTCTGCCACACGTCTCTCAACATCTGCTCCCTGGAAAGAAACCACCGTGCAGCATCACCTTGCTCCTGAGCACCAAGCTGAATGCTGCTGATTCGGCTTAAACTGAAATCGCTCCCACTTTTTGCTACTCTAGCTCATGTCCCAAGTTTTGTTCCCTTTTCCTTAAATGCTTATTTCCCAAGTGTCCTAACTTCCAAGTTTGGGCGAGAAAAGATTCCAAAGCCTGGGAGCAGGAAAATACCTGAGCCTTGGCTTGTGATGCAGGCTTCCCATCTCTCCTCCTACCCCAATAGTCAGCTAAAGCCAGCCACAAGCCACGCAGCTCTCAAAGGTACTTACGCGCCAAAGCCTTGTTGGCAACCCGTGATAACTGTTGTCCCAGTGCGGCCTACTTCATCCCCAGCACACCCAAACCAGTTACAATCCAATATCCTTTGGGGGGGGCAAAAATCATTGTACTCTCCAATGAAATAATATCGAAGACCCCACTTACCTTCTGCCAAGATTGGAACTGCTGTGGAGTATTTCCCTCCCACCCATCCCATGCCAGCAGTGTTTGAATTCCTTTGAAATACCATCTGGGAGAAATCATCATTACAAACACTTAAGGTTCCAATTCATACAAAAAGGCAAAGAAAGAAAACCCACACACCATACCTGTGACTTGGCAAGTGCCCTGGGAGACCAACCGGAAGACGCAGAAAACATACCCACACACTTCCTCAACCCTCCTGGTGACTCTACTGCATTCCCTGCCCGAGAGTATCCTGCACAGGTATCAGTGAGAAAGAAGGCAAATGAAAATATAATGGCCCTCTGATAGGAACTTATGGGAGGTGGATGATGCTCATATTCATCATACTTCTTCAGCTGCATAACAATACAAGGAATAATGTAAGTAGAGTCAAATCTTTGGTGTGTGATCCCACGTGTTTCCGAGTCCAGCACTGAATGAAAGGATACCCGGGGCAGAGCTAGAATATTGGACTTTTATCTGCAGGCTGGGTCTCCCAGGCCTGGCCCCATTCTTTTGAAGGTTACATACCTTAGGAGGTTAAAGCTCAGATCGAGCCTCTTTGCAAAATGTCCATAGTCCCTGCCGAGGTGCTCTGGAATTTCTCTGCAGTCCTGGCCTATGTAGGACACCTGGAAATTAAATGGAACAGAAACAATGTGGCAAACGGAAATCACCCAGCCGCTCATAACCCTGAGTCATTGATCCGATGATTGCTTCCGCAACTCTAAGCGCACACACCTTGCACACAAAAGGCCACATTTGGTGCCGTTTTCTTGATCAAATCAGTTTGGGGTGCTTCAGGGACTCCACCAACACTCCCCTGTCCTAGTATAGTTCACATGATGGAGACTAACCCCAGCACAATGAAAATCTGGAGTAAAATTGGCTGGATTCAGATGTGAAGAAAAACCATGTCGGAGCAGGCTGATATAATCCAGCAATCACCCTCCCACTCTGGGGCCTTTCTTCCAGCTGCCCCCTTGTCCTTCGCCTTCATCATCTACAAACATCCGTCTCCCAGCCCCTGTTAGTCACATTACTGCACAAAAGACACAGCAGGTACAGTCACCAGCGCTCAACATGCAAGGGGCTGGGAGAAATAGGGCTGGATCAAGAAACCTCTCCATACACCAATCGTATGCATCAGAGCCCACTCAGAGGCATCTAACAGTGACAACATCACCAACCCCACACTCTTCGGCTATCGGGTCCATCCTGACTCATAGTGACCCTACAGGACAGGGCAGTATCCTGTCGGTATCCCAGGCTGTAACTCTTTCTGCGAATAAAGAGCCTTGTCTTTCTCATGTGAATTGTCTAGGATGAGCCAACCGGTCATTTTGTCAACCCTCATGAAATGACCCCAGGAGTCACATACTACTGTTATTCCTATTTTACCTATAGTATAGGAATATGATCAATTAGCACATTTAAAACATACAGCTCTTGACACCTTGTAGACACATAACAACTAGTTATTGCATCACACTAATATCCCTATGATTAGAATTTGATAATTCCAATGTCTCTTGGGCACAAGATTTCAATGTCCACATTCCAAGTCTGCATGTGAGTCCACAATGATATTGATGCCTTTATATGGTCAACTTAATACTAAAAATAAAATGATGCATTTAGGTCAAAAGAAGGCCAAATGAAGTCAGACCCATGCTGACCAAAAAGATTTTAGGGGAGGGGGGAGAAATGGAAGGACTGTGGTGTCACCAATGATGTGGCACTATAGGCCTTTGCCGCCAGTACAATAGTCTCTGAGTCCATGCTGACTCCTAGCCAGAGCTGTGGGTTTCTGAAATGGTAACTGCTTTTGTTTTTATGAATCAATTTATTGGGGGCTCTTACAGCTCTTATAGCAATTCATGCATCAATTGTAGCAAGCACATTTGTCCATATGTTGCCGTCATCATTTTCAAAACATTACTTTCTACTTGTGCCCTTGGTATCAGCGCCTCTTTTTTCCCTCCCT